TCTAGAAATGCATTATCTAAATGTGTGATGACTTGTCAGCGATGGTATCTGTATTATTTGTATACTTGTTATTTTGATATACAGGTACTTGTGTTAATTTGGGTTGGTTTGCAGAACAGAAAAATTGTTCTTAGTTAATTAAAATACTTATTAAAGGCTCATATATATGTTTCTCTAGTTATTGAAATATAGCATTTTAATTTAATCTTTTCATAATTTAATTAAAACATAGGCCTATTTAACTCAGTATATAATATTTTGCTTCACGTAATCAATGATCACTTTACTGAAGACAATTAAAATTTTAAATTACATATGTTAAGTGAACATAAATATATACCAAAGATTTCTGTTTTTATTTTGCATTATAAACCTGAATATTTAGGCACAACACTCAATTCCCTGTGTAACAAATGACTATTCATTATGTCTTACTATTAAGGGATGTTATCTCAATAAGCAATATTATAGCTCATCTTTGCTACACATCTGGGTTAAGGGACCCTCAACTGGGGAATTTCCTTCATTGGACTGGCCTATGGCCATGTTCATGGAGCACCTTCTTGATTGTTGAGTGATGTGGGAGGGCCCAGCCCACTGTGGGTGGTGCCATCCCTGGGCAGGTGGGCCTGTGTTGCATAAGAAAGCAGACTGAGCAGGGGCCGGGGAGCAAGCCAGTAAGCAATGTTCCTCCATGGCCTGTGCTTCAGCTCCTGCTACAGGTTCCTGCCCTGATTTCCTGCCTTGGGCTCCCTGATGAACTGTAACCAGGGAGATGTAAGATAAAATAAACCCTTTCCTCCCAAAGTTGGTATTGGTCAAACTATTTTGTCACAGCAATGAAGAAACAAACTAGGACATCATCAAATGTTTAAGATTAGTGTTTGCAAAACAAAACAGTGATATTAACAAGGGAAAATATATAGCTCTCTATAAAAAAAAAAACACAAAATTCAAGGTCCTTCTTTATATAAAGCTTAATTCCAAGTGACTTCATAATTAACTTTATTCCTATGTACCACAGATCAGTTTCCTTGTATATACATAATTCATGAGTGTCAACACAGATGATGTCCTAAGACTACATTTTGAGTGAAGTTCCGAAGCGCGCACACACACACACACACACACACACACACACACAAACCAGATTCAATTAATACCTAGAGATTTCTACACACACACACACACACACACATACACACACACACACACACACACAAACCAGTTTCAATTAATACCTAGAGATTTAGAAAAAAAAATCACCGAATTGAACTGAAGGACAATTCACATAAACCATAGCATGGATCATAGCATGGATCAGAGATTTCAAGCTTCTTAACCTCCCCCCCACCAGCTGACAGCCAATTAAGATCTGAAAAAAAGTCCCATGTTTAATAAGAGTAAATATTTATATTTAAAACAAAATGCAACTACCTACTGTAAAACAGGATGCTGGCTAAGCACCAATTCCTGAGGGAAGGTGAGAGAAACTACTGTGACCCTACTTCTTATCAAGGTTATGAGTCATTTGGAGCATCATGGGCACAAGTGGAACCTGAGGTCAAGCACCATGATGCACACCTCTGCCACCATATATAGAGATGTCCACTATCATTAAGTGCACATTCTTTGGATGCTTTTGGGTTGGTAGAAAGTTCAGTTGGCCCTGCCACAATTCATATATGATGAAACAGACAGGCTCCTCAGTCTCAGTCAGCATTGACATTCCAGAAACTTGACTATTTATTTTGACGTGATTTTGTTCTCTATTTGACATTGATGATATTTTAGTACTCGACTCAGTTTTGCTGGCATTGTCCCTGTCAATAGGGGCATACAGCATCATGTTGCTGAGATACATCCATATAGCTGAGATTTTCAAAATAATCAGAAATCTGGTAGGATGGATTAAAAGTTGTTTATCTACTATGAAGAGATTTTAGGAAACAGTTCACTTGTTTTAACTATGTGGGTATGGACAGACATATTGAAAGATGTGTGAAATACTATTTCTCTCTCCTCTTCCTCCTCCTTTTCTTCCTCCTCCTCCTCCTCCCCCTCCCTTCCTCCCCTCCCCCATCTATCAACATAACTCACCTCTGTACACTATCCAAGAGTATAGCAAGCAGACAACTAAATTGTTAAATATAAGTTGGGGCCTAGAGAGAAAATTAACTACAATATTGATTAATACATTGTCAAGAACAGGGAAATCAAAGTTCAGAGGAGACAGGTGAGGAGATGTTAGTGAAAACTGGGGAAGACTAGACTAGGAGAACAGGACTGACATTGGACACTCAAACTCTGGGATCTTAGTTGTGAGATGATAGCACTGCCAAAATTTCTAGACTCAGAATGAAACACCAAAAAAGAGGTATGAAAAGGGAAATTATTTCACATTTAGAATGAATCATAGCCTTGACCCTTATTAAACCAACAAATGAATGTTATGCAAAAGAAAATGGTGCACACCATTTATTACAGATTAAATCAAAATAAAATGAGACTGTTTCTAATAAAATTTCATTGTAATTTTGAGAAATAAATGAATAAATAACAGCAAGGGAAAATAATGCTGACAGAATAATAAAAAGTACAACAGAAAGAAATTTGAAACTATGTATACAATGTTTGCAAAACATACCAAGTTAATTTGGAAATCTTGTAGATAGATATTAGGATACATATGTCTGTTTAAAAGAAACTTAAGGATTTAAATACGTAAACATAATAATTTAGGAGAATGAACTTTAAGAGTGCAGATATTACAGCACAAATTACAACACTGGGATTCAGGAAATATTATTCCTCAACCTGAAGAAAGGAATTCTAATTATACTCACATCTTATGAGAACTGCACTGTTAATGAGGAAAGTTTTAAAATGATCTATGAGGAGTAACTTCAGACATAAATCCCAAGTATTAACCCTTCTTGGTAACAGAGAAGTGCATTCTGAATCATTAGAAATTCTAGAAATCACAATCAGTACTATACTGAAACCCTACCGTTATCTGATTCCAGCACAGGATTCTATCTTCCCACATTCAGAGCAATGAGTTCCAGATTATGCTACATGTTAGAATTCCATTTTTCAAAGACTATTGCCTCTGAATATCATTATTATTAGATAGTAGAACTAAGAATATTAGTGGCCCTGCTAGTTCAATTTTATCCTCTTTGAGAAAGAGGAAAATGTCATTGTGAGACCAAGAAAAGTTCAATGTGAAAGAAAAGAAAGGCTTATGATGTCAAGCCACGCATTTCATGTGCCTAAATTACTGTTTACAATACTTTGACAATTTGCACATATTTCTAAGTTAGAATCACTATTTCAGGGAGCTGGAAGACATTTTTACAGACAACAATAACAAAGACCCTGTAATACTCATATAGCCAGAACAAAGTAATAGAACTTCTAAAAGAAATGATCTTTGAAGAACAATTGCTGAAGCTCTATGAGGATCTGACTCTTCTTTCTGTCATGGAAAAGGTTAAAAAAAGTCCCCTTAATAACATTTTCATATTACAGCCCATTCAAATGGTATTGTGTTGGGCAAGGGGAATCTGGGAGGAACATTTTGTAAAGTAACCAAGTGAAAACATTTTGTCTCAAATATTTATTGTGCAGAATCTCTTCTTCTTTGCATGGACATATTCCCTTAGAAGATACACAATTTAGACGCTAAAACTAAGAGACAAAAATATTAAAATATAAATAATCATAAAA